TGGGAGGGATCGCCGATACCCTTCGTTTCATTATGGCCACGATATGATGACAAAAACGATACGGCCGCGTTCAACACGGACGCATTTGCCAAGCAAACCATTCTAAACGCCTCGGCGGCTGGCGTGGATCTCGGCAAAATTGTTCTACAAGTGAGTGTTGGGCATTCACCGCCAGTGTTGAATTATAGTGAGATCCTCTAGTTTTCCTTTCGTTATCTTCTTGTAGTAGTGGTTCCGATATTGCACAACACCGATGTCCCGTGCTTTCCCTTGGAGTTGTAGTTTCGGTCGCCATCTCAGGTGCCTCTTCTGGCTCGAGCTACCTATGATTCTGCCGATGTCGGTTACTCGTCTATGATATACGGATTCCATCAGGACCCACAGGGCAACGGCAGATACCACAACAAGAATGGGGACTACTTCTTCTTTTCGCAGCCACGTGCTGTCGACAAGATCAAGGTGGCTCACGAGCATGGGCTCCATGGTATTTCGTTGCAACAATCACTACCAGACCAAGCACGGGCTGATCTCTTTCCGTGGGATAACAATTCTCTTTTCCATGCGCTTGTCGAAAACATGTAGCCGCATATATCATTGCCTGCCCCGTAGTTGCTCCGGGGGCCCTCTCTGGAGGCTATATCATTCTCTAGCAGCCTCATCACTGATGCTGGAATCAGTCTATCATACGGATCATTATGGATGGTCTCCCCATCCTCAAATACCCGTAGTTAAGATCCAGAATCATTGTACGGGTGTCGGCCTGACACTGTCAATTCTGCCACGATATCCTCCCTCCTTTTGCTCAGTGGTCCATGACGTTCCATACCCGTTTCATAGCAATACGTGCGTATGCGCGTGGCCTTTTGTGCGTTTCCCCAATCCTTGAGATATGCGGTGCTCTGACGATCACATGAGGAGAGCAATGTAGCCTCGTGATTAATTCCGTGGGTCTCTCTGATTCCATTTTTCCAAGCTGACGATGTCAATCTTTTCAATCTCTATTTTTCCGGTATGAATTGTGCGGTAAACATTAGGTGAAGTTCATGAGGTCGTTCTATATTAATCTCGGTTTAACTTGATTCGGTCAAGATTCGTGGCTGATGGATACGGATGGATACGGATAAGCACCTTCTCAAGCGACTGTAGCCGAAGCATTGGAAGTCTTTGACAAAGTCGTCAGGGCCTGCTTAGCAGGGTTTATCCATAGATTTTTTAAAGATAGGTATTTTTCCAAGGTAATTATTTCTTTTCTGGATTTAATTGGCGTCCTCGGTTGTGTTGAGTTGACGAGAGTCAGGTCATGTGGAAAAAAGTGATGTTACCACAGCGGCACATGCCATACCGCGGGGAGGTCCAAAACTGCCAAGTTGAGCATACCGACTTTCGAACATATTGACTCGAGAAATTAAAGGCTCGTCTGTTGAACACTCATTGACAATGAGTTATTGTGGCCTCAACCAGAGTGGGTGGTCAAGGGTCATGCTAGACATGCTACGGCCACTGTCCAGAGGTCCAGTGCAACCAGTGCGGGTGTTACTACTAACACCTCACCTCACTACATGGTGTCGCAGTCCTGCGGAAGATGATTGAGAAGTGCTCAAGATAACAAGAAGCCTGGCAGTACGTATGTACAAAGCGTGATCGATATTCACGTGAGTACGTAGATTTTTTCCTAAGAAGCCCGATCCGATGAATGAGGATTGTGGTTCATTGAGTTACAACACCAGAGTCATTAGATCGTCTGACCGTCATCCGATGATCATCCGATGGTCATTGACCATTGGTCCGATGGTCAATGACCATCGGACGTTGGCATAAAGGTTGCGCTATTTTTCCTTCCGAAAAATGAATGATGCAAAAATAGAGAAAAAATAACACCATCTCTCGCCTTTCCTTTCCGCTGGAATCCATCAATTCTCGAGCGATGCATGCCCGGGCAAAGCGAGTGAATCTTCGACTATTATGCAGAGTACATCTAAGATGTAACATCTCCGGCAACACCTCTTGACAAAAGTTTTTTGTGCATATGCCCGACAAATCTTGATCGGATCAAGAAGGGCTCGTGGATTCCACGAGCCCCTCGTGGCAAGGGTATGAGACTCACATTGTAAGCCACATTTTCTCTCATGGGGCCTCTTTCAATAACCACTTACTTAAGTAAGAACGGTAAGAAACTTAAGGATTCGCCCTAAGTTCGTTTCACTAACTAGGTTAGGAGTTTACTTAAGTTTATCTCTCTCACTCTTAAGTTAAGAATCCTTAAGTTTCAACTTCAAACTTTCAAGGTAAGATTCAGAATCTTAGATTCTTAAGTTAGTACGGTAAGGCCATAAGAGTTTCTCACTAACCTACGTTTTCACGAACTTACGTAACTTACGGGTGAGTCCCGATTCATCAATCTCACTCCAGTCTTGCCTTGCGCGGCCCGGTGGGCGAGGGAGCGGAGCTAGTAAGTGGCAGGAGGTTGTAGGTCGCGAGAGAACTGAATCCGAGTAGACCAAAACCACTAGTCGAACTCAAAGACACACTCC